ACCCCCCCAAAAAGTAAGTTGGATGGCTCAAGAGTTGATGCTCTCCGAGAAGGTGTCCTGGGCCTTCGCGGCTCCCCCAAGCTGCGCCCCCCAGCCCGCTCCTGCCCCCCCAGCCACTGCCACCCCGCCCCCAAAGGCAGCCGATCTCCCAGGGATTTTCCTCTGATTGAAGAGCAGAAGCGATATACATTCAAAAGACATTTCCTTTAGGGAGGGACGGACCAGAATCAAATCCGTCTCAGACATGATTGCTTTGCTTCCACCTTGAAAGCGAGTTGGGAATTTGCCTCCGAGGGGTGATGCACCAGACAAAAGGTACGGCGCGTTAAGTTCTGCAACGTCCAGCGCCCTCTGGGAATTCGAGACCGTCTTCCAGGTCTTATTTCCAGCTCTTAATCGGGTCAAAGTTTCCAAGTTGAAATGCGTTGAACCACTGTGATGTGCCGGACACCGTTCTGGGCACCGGCTGCGGCAGTGAACAAAGCAGAGCCTCCTCACCCAGGTGGAGTTCACACTTTTTGGCGAAACAGGTGATAGTAAGCAAAACATACAGGACTGGAATGCCAAATAGCAAATGCTACGGGAGGAAACAACACACTGTAAGATATAGCTGGTTGGGGGGTGGGGGCACACATAGTATTTATAAGATGATGGTGAAGGGCTCACTTGGAAGATGACATTTGAAGAAAGACTTAAAGCAAATGATAGACCAGAGCCACATGGATGGATGTGTGTGGGAAGCTAAGCCCTGGCCAAAGGCACAAGTTCAAAGGCCCTGGGACTCGGTTATGCTTACTGTGAGCAAGAAACAGCAGAGCTCTGCTCTTGTCACTGAAACAGTGAGCCACAGGGAGAGTGGTATGAAGTGGGCCAGGGGGTGTGGCAAATGTGCATTTGGGCTCTGCAGGCCATTTAAAAGACTTTGGCTTTGGCTCTGAGATGAGGAACTGCTGGACAGTTTAAAGCCGCAGAGCGACTGATCCTGTTAGATTTTAACAGGATTTCCCTGGCTGCTGGGTGGAGAATAGACAGCAGTGAATAAGGACTGAAGCAGGCAGCCTCGTTTGGAGCCTATTGCAGTAATCCTTTCATCCAAACAGGGCAAATAAAACAAACGAGCTGCTGTCGAGTTGATTCTGACTCACGGGGATCCCAAAGTGCTTTATAAATCACTAAGTAGTAAATTTCCAGTTGACTTAAGTAATATAGAGATCGAGGCCTGCAAGTCATTCATCTGCCTTTCGTTCAATGTGACTTAGAGATTAAACGTCTATAGAGCTGGCCTGTCACTCAATGCCAGTGTGGTAACCAAAAAGACACCCACACAAGAACATTTAGGTAGGGATTGACTTTTTTTTTTAGCCATTTAAGCAAAAATGTAATGTAGAGAAGATAGTGTATTTTTTTAATTAAAAAAATTTTTTAATCCTGTTTTTAAAGGCTTAATATCGGTACCACCTTTTATTTGGTAAATATTTTCTATTTTAACCCTCTGTGGTTTTGAGATGCCAAATCCTTTAAGGCGTTGTTTTTTCTGAGATACAATTATTCCCTTGATACTTTCACCGTATTATCTTGCCTGTTATTATAAACTGCATTGGGGTTAAAGGAAAAGAACACTATATCAAGTTTTGAACTTGATTCTCAGTGAAATAAGAGGGTATTTTATTGAGATTTAAGAGCATAGATCTAGCTGTTTTGCTTCAACTCTTGTGCGTTTAGGTTTGATATCTTCGTGGTAAGAAGTTGGCTCATGTGTCAGTTCAAGAGTATTCAAGAGTTAAGACCCAGAACATGAGACAAAGCACTTTCTAAAGTGAAAGGTTAATATAGGGAGGAATTTGATAATAAATTTTTCAGTAATAATTAGAGCAATAATTTAGAAAACTATGTTGGATCATTTTGTAATCAATAAAAGGTACTGGAATATGCACCTGAATGCCTCTTAAGCACAATTCTGCTGAACTATACTGCTCTGAAATTTTTTGTTGCAATTTTTATCATCAAACTAGATTCTGGACCATGAATATTCAGGACGTAGACTCTATTGGTACTGCCTAATTTATTTCCCACCTACTGATATGTAACATATTTCTTAAAGAGTTGTTTATTTCATGTGTACTCTAAAAATACAAGTAATCAAACCCCCTGTGCTTAGGGTAAAGCTAAGATACCTATCAATCTCTCTAATTATTGTCAACCTAAGTAAAATATTACCGATAGATCCCAGATACAGTAAAATTATGACAAAGCAAATGAGAGCTTTATAGAAGTGTTCTCTATAGAACAAAAATGTAAGAATCACTTGAGATGCTTATTAAAAATGTAGATTCTATTTTTCTTAGATCCACAGAACCAGGATTTCTGCATTTTAACAAGATTCCCAGGTGATCTTTCTACATACTGAAGTTTGAGAACTGTTACTGGTAGACTTAGATTGCAGAAGTACCCAGGTTGAGGAAGCTTATTTGTGATCTCCCATACTTGTCATGTATTTTAAAATTAGATTCAGATTGCTACTCATTGCCAAAGTATCTTACTCCTATTTCCTACCACTTCTTGCCTTTCTAGGACACACATCCGTTGATAAAAGTCAGATCCATGCTTACAAGTAGTAGGTCTTGACTATATTTTATGTGTACCTCTCTCATCTTTCTTAATTGCCCATATTAATTGTCAAATGAATGAATATATGAATTCCTATTTTAAAATTTTCTCTGATTGTCCATAGCCACGCATACTACTTACATTTTGCCCATTTACCTTAACATTAGTTTTCCATCTTACTCAAAACTTCCTTTGGTCCCTGGGTAACACAAACTGTTTATACTTGTCTACTTACCAAAAAGTTGGCATCTTTTAAAACAGTTTTATTGGCATTTAATACACATATCACACAATTCGAGGTTAGCATTTTGAATCCACCCAGTGGCACCATGAAAGAAAATCTTGGGAATCTGCTTCCATCAAGAAAACCCTAGCCAAGAAAGCCCTGTGGAACTCAATTTTACTGTGTAAACACTTGGCGAATCAACTTGACAGCAATGCTTATATGTTTGCTTACATGTTAGGAGGATACTTGATTGTTTAACTGCTGTAAATGTATTATACTGCACTTGTACAGTATACAGAGATCTGAGTATTATAAAAGTTTCCTTCAGTAAACAATAAATCATTGTTCTAGCAAGCAACCAAACCTCCCCTTCTCCAGTTTTAGACATCTCTTAATTGCTGATCTGATGACAATAGTCACTTTTTTTTGGAACAAATACCTATTAAGTAGACACAGGACCAGACAGTGAGAAGATATTGGCTAAGAAAACGTAATCCCTGTCTTCAAGAAAGTTTAAGTAAAGGACACTGATTGATACTCACTTACAAACAGCATTACAAATGAACATTTATCCCATCTTTAAGGAAATCAAGGAAGGCCTCTTGGAGGAGAGTTCTAAGAAGTGTTGCTTGTACCTTTGTGTCAATTGCTGAAAGAGTAGTAGGGAGAATAAAGAGTGAAATCAAGAGCTGAAGGGTCATTGGTTATGTTAAGAAGGTGATCTTGGAAGGAAATGACATTTCAAAGCTTCGACTATTCAGTAAGGTATGAGGATGTGGTGTATAAATCATTTTCAGAGAGAAGCTTGTGGTCAAACCAGGCATAGCCCCAAACTTGAAGAGATGGCATCAAGAGAATGTGTACTTTTCTCCCTTGATAGAAGACTTGAGATCTCTTTGTAGACTTACATAAGAAACCAACGTAGAGGGCGAGGGAGAGAAGAGAATCCAAAAAGGTTTCAGAAAGAGGATAATTCACGAATTGATAAAGCATCAAGTACATATTCTTGAATGTCTACTGCATGTTAGACACTCACTGTTCTAGTAGTTGAGGGGGTGAGACAGACAAGACCTACTTCTCATAAAGTAGGTCCCTGCAGTGTAGGAAAGGGGAATAGGTGTCAAAGGTATAAATGAAGTTTTAGAGAAAAAAAGAGAAATAGATATTTGGAGATGACGAGCAAAAAAGTTGAAGGCATTCATTTCAGATTTATTACTTTTAACTAGAGCATTGGTTCTCAACCTTCCTAATGCCACAAGTCCTTAATACAGTTCCTCGTTGTGGTGACCCACCCCCAACCATAAAATTATTTTCGTTGCTACTTCATAACTATAATTTTGCTACTGTTACGAATCGGGCGACCCCTGTGAAAGGGTCGTTCGACCCCCAAAGGGGTCGCGACCACAGGTTGAGAACCGCTGAACTAGAGGTAGAAATGACATTGACGCTATAATGATGTATTTTAGAATAAGATTATAGTACATCCTGTCATAAAAGTACCCACACTATAGAAGGCTATCCTTCTAGAACATGAACGATTTCGTTGGTGTGAGGTATGGAAGATTTGAGTGGTTTGGGGAGAGAGCATAATTTCCGTAGTCATGAAGTGGAGGAGATGACCTGGTGAGGAAAAGCTTGTAGAAATTAGTTTTTATTTTGTTATATTTTAAATTAGTCATATAAAGGCTAAGCAGATTATGAGGGAATTTGTTTGGTTTTAGACACGTTGCCTAAATATTTCTCTGAGATAGTATAGTTATAGTGTAGACAATAGATGTACATGGTTTGGAGGTGAATGGTCTTAAGCCAGAAATAGAGATTTGAAAGTCATCAGTAAACAAGTGAAACTTAATTGATGCCTTGGGAGTAGATGAGCTCACCCAAGAGAGATTGAAAAGTGAGAAGGGAAAGGCATTGAGAACACACCTTTGGGACCACTAACAGTTAGAGAAAGAAGGGAAAGTAGAGCCTGACAAGCAGAATGCGAAGGAGTAGCCAGGGACGCAGGAGAAACACTGGGGGAGAATGGGGCCAGAGAGTTGTAGGAGTGGATATATGACAATGAGATGAATTCGCTCCCCTTTTGACATGTTGTATTTTGACATGAAGTCCTTAATCTGATCTTTCTCCCGTGTTCCAGTCGGATGAGCTCTGCCTCATTTATCCCGTGGCTCAAGCCCACCCTCTACAGTACTCTCACCCAGCATTGTCCCAAAGTCCCCAATAACAAAATTACAGTTAAGAAGTTGCAACGAAAATAATTTTAGCTTAGAATATGTCTCCTTAGTATGTTTTGAAACAGGGTTTTGAAATGGTTCAGTTATGACCAACAAAGTGAGATCAGAACAGACCCAGATTTGTACAATGTGGGCGGATGGCAACAATAACCAAAATGGACAAACTGCAGGTCAACGCTCTGCTATCTCTTTGATTATTACTGCCTACAGACCCTGCTTTAATTTAGGTCTTGTTTATTTCTTTGATGAGCTCAATCACCCTCTCACAGGTTCCTGGCCTCCCACTTTGACTCCTTTAACCATCTGCCACATTTCTATCGCTAGTGTTAAAGAACTACAGTCTGTTGAGTTCCTGGGAGAAAGCCTGGGCTCTTCTACTTCCATAAACAGTTGTAGTCTGAGGAACCCAGAGGCAGCTCTAACTCTGTTCCATCGGGCTGCTATAAGTTGAAATTGACTCAGCGGCAGTGAGGTTTTATCGCTTGTTGGGTACTTGGAGGCCCTCGGGGTGGAAATAGTTTAGCGCTTGATTGCTAACTGAAAGGCTCTGGGAAGAAAAACCCTAGAGACCCTGAGGGGGACAACACCAGAGACACAGTGTGGGAATTGCACCCGATCTGATCCCGCCACACGGAAGCAAAGCACTGGGGGAGTTCAGCAGAACAGCAGGGGAGGGGAGCAGCAAGATCCCCAGGGAATGATGAGGGTGGACATTGGGGACAGGGCATGGCGCCCCAACAGGCTAGACTGGAAAACACAAGCTTTTCTTTCTTGGTATATTTTAATTTGTTCTTTGTCAGTGGCTTGATGTTGTTGCTGTTTTGTTGTACGTTGTTGCTTGGTTTTGCTCTGTCTTGTTTTTGTGCATGTTGTTGTCTCCGCAGGTCTGTCTGGATAGGACAGGCTGGATAAACAATCTGGAGGAGAAAACAACGGGACTGACAGTTCCGGGGGGACATGGAAGAGGGGGAGGTGGGGGTGGTGGTGTTAACAAGCCCAGGGACAAGGGAACAACAAGCGATCCAAAAACCCTAGTGAACATAGTTCTACTCTGACATACATGAACTCACCATGAGTCACAACCAACTTAAAGCAACTGGCTGTTTGGTGCTCTTTGGTAATTTCCAAACACTTTGTTAAGTGGTTTAAATGGATCACCTTAATCCTCTAAACTGCCCTGTGAGTTAGATGTGGTTGTCATCCTAGTTTTATAGTTGATACTAGAGAACTGATGTTAGAGACATAAAATAAAGTGTGGTTAAGTGACACATCCAGGTTTACCCAGCTAATAAATGACAGGGCCCCAACCAGTTTCATTGCCGCCACCCACCCTCTCACTCACTCCACCCATGGCCATCAAATCAATTCTGATTCTGCTAGACAGAGTAGAACCGCCCCTGTCTGTTCCTGAGACTGTAACTCTTTCCAGGAGTAGAAAGCCTCACCACAGAGACTCTGGTGGTTTTAAACTACTGACTTTGGATTAGCTGCCCACACACTTCCCCCAGGGCTACTTCTGTCCTTGTAATACCCCCAAAACACAATTCAATCACATTGCCTCCTTATATGAAATTCTTTAATGGTTCTCATCACTATTAGGATTAAAATATACCTTTTCTTAAAAATTTTTTTTTCAAAACCATATTGTTGGGAGTTAATAAAGATATCTTTCCATAGTTCAATCAGATCAAGAAGTATTGTACAATTGCTACTGCAATCAGTTTCACAACATTGTTTTCCTTTCTGAACTCCTTAACATTAGCTCCCCGCCCCCCAACCCTTATTATTCTTGCTGTCCCTGTAGGTTCATCATTCCTGGTTTCATATACTGAAAAACAGAAAAACAAAAACTCAAAAGAGTGACCCCCCAATGAGATAAACCCCTTTTATATTAATCTGATTGTGGCCTGCTACTCAGTCTTCCCATTCGTTTTCATTATTCAAATTTCATTAAATTTGCGTCTTATACTCCAACCTGAG